CAGGTTTTCTATGGTGATCTAGCTTCAATTGACTCATGATTCCAACCAGTGAAATATCGTGAGAAATGCTAAATTATTTTTAAATATAGAAATTTAAAATTCCTACGGTTCTATACATCATTAAAAAAATACAATGAATATTTTAATTTATTCATTGAATTCAACCTTGATCGTTTGTTTGATTACCTTTTAAAGAAAAATCAATGTTACACTTATGATCAGTGATGGGCTAACATCAATCGGTTAATGACCTTAATCAAAAATATAATAATCTCTACAACCCCATACTAATAAAAAAATTTAATCTAGTTAACTCCAACAATATTAGGGTTCAGTGATTATAGTTATCGTATTAATGTACTAGAATTATTTGGATTTTGTTTAAAAGAAATGAACGGTTGATGGTTAAAATATATTACTTAATAGTGTTTAATTTTTAAACAAATTATATTTATTTTGTATAATTGATTTCCTAAATTGAGTTTATGATATAGATACTCGTAATGTTGAACTTGTGTCTAAAGTTAGATATTAACATCATTGGATCGCGGCCGGTTCATTGGTCTTGGAGTTAAGCGTTCCCGCGCGAGACTGATAAGTTATGAGTCCGAATCTCATGCGAGCGAGATTGTGAATGTGCGCTGCTGAGGAATCCCACAATAGGACGAAACGGTTGTCCAGTTCTTCTAGGTTTTCTATGGTGATCTAGCTTCAATTGACTCATGATCTCAACTATTGAAATAACTATAATACCCACAAAAACCCCTTCCGAAAAGTAATATTCATTGTCTTTATTATTTCAAACACCGAAATAATTAAGTCATATCTAGTAAATTTCACACAATTTGAAAGTAAAACAGTAATTGTTAAACAGTTCTGATCAATGGTAAATTTAATAATATTGAAAATATGAATTGTTGGGTTACAATTCAGTAGTCAAAATATCCTATTCTTGTCATGAGACCTAATGATCCTTGATTTAATTATTATTATACTTAGGAGTTATACTTAAATTAATGAATATTTATTTGAATTGTTTTCTTGTATTGGATTAACAAGTTGGTATTAGTTGGATGAAATAGTGAGTGAATTGATTGCTTAGCGAACTATTTTATCAACTGTTTGTGATCTTTATTACTACACAGCTTCTTTTGTGTTTTCAGTTTGTGTGCTCACTAAAACTTTATAAGATCTAATCAAGAGTTGTTTCACATTGAATTCAAACAAATAACATTTTGGCAAAATCGTTAAACGCTTTTTTCTTAAACCATGAAACGTCCTACGTAAAATTTGTTAAAGATTGTTTAGTAGCGGGTTATAGTTTGATGAAAGGGTTACAAACAAATTTAGAAGTGTTTATTAATGGATTCCAGCTCAATAATATATATCATTTGAGCTCTAGGAGGTAAACCTAAAGATCATGTATTGAAAACGTTATAGGCTAGTATAAAACGCGCTGTTGAGGAATGTCATATTACGAAAAAATAACTGTTCAGTGTTCTTCATTTTTGAAAGCACTTTAATCGTGATCATTCTCTGATGAATGTCATCTATATAATGACTGATTGATTCATATATGAAGTAATATTTACTTTTTAAAAGTCATGCATATTTATATATGAACGACTAGACTGACTAACTATGACTGTATATTTCCAATGATTTTAATATATATATTAATTGTGTTTGTGAATGTTATTCATCTATACACATTACATAGTTACATATAAACAAGGTATCTGACTAACAAACTTTTATGATTAATCATTGTAGATTTTATGTTGACATGTAACAGAACTAGATACTGCTTTTTCACTTTTTCAATAACCTTTGTCATATAGTTATTTCACTTACAAATAACACATTTTGTTTACATTTAAAAATGACCCTGTTTATTAAAAATAATTAATCTTGTTAATCCATAAGTTAATCTAAATTGTTCGATGTAGAGAAAAGTTAAAAAAATATTAGTTTTATTTATTTTTCAAAATTTGAAGTGTACATATACCATTCTACGATCGTTTACATTTTTCTTATAAGCTTGTTTGATAAAACAAATAATATATATAGTAAATATTTAATTGTACTGTAGTGAATGAGATTAGATGATGGTTGGAGGTAGTCACCAGGAAACCCTGGACCGCCAGGTAGCACCAGTTCCCTCAAGATTACAGGTACACCTTGCTGACGAGTGCCAAGTAGCACGAAACCCGGGTCGAGGGTTTCCTGTCGACTACCTCCAACCACCATCTAATCTCAATATATAGTGCACTCAGTGTCGAGTCACCTGGACTGGTGGCCACATTGCAACATGGTCGATAGCATTTGATCTGCACTAAATAAGGACTTGACACGCATGACACTGATCACCACCCAGTGATCAATCAATTGTGTAGTGAATGAGAACACACATATGTGGACAATCGAATGTATTTCAATACAAAATTACAGAATATCTTAGCGAAATCTGTGAATCATACGGTAAATTTTTCATTTGCAATATATTAATCAGTTGTCACAAACTTGACTATTCCTTCTGCAAAATATCAATCAATCTTCTTAGACTTTATTATTCTTTCATTTCCACATCAATCAATCACTGTTATCGTTCTCTTTCCTTCGATCTTCTTAACCTTCTGTCATTTTCAATTGATGATACATACTACTTATATCTGTCGACATCAGTAGCACACACCATAATACACTTGAATGTTTTATCTTGAAACTAAACTGAAAATTGCTAGGTATATCTTAAAATATTCAAATAAAATACAGAATGGAATTTGTTTGGTGTCTGAGACTGAATGTAGAGTAATAGAATTCTGAAATAATATAATAAACATAAATTCTTTGTATTTAATGAATGTCAAACTAAAGGATACCTTGTAATTTACATGGTTTTCTGCTACAAACAATCCAACTGTGTATAACCATATGATACAAAGATTCTATGATTAACAGTTATATTTTATATAACCATAAACTTATGACTAGTTATTTAAAGTTCTGAACATTAAGTCACCTTAATTCTTTACCTCATAATTATCACTATGAAAGTAAAATTTCTTAGATTAAAGTGTTTCAGATGTTTTCTGGATCGGATTTTATAACTTGTAGATATATAACACTGGAACAAGTTATTTCACTTCTAGGGAAATCCTTATAATAAATAATGAAATACTTTTTTCAATTTTATTTTTCTCAACTACTTAGATGCATCGTTTACTTTTTGTTACACTTTTATTAGTAAATTAAATAATTACTTATTCTGTACAAAAGTAAATCTGGGTTACGGACTATTCAAACATAAAGAATACTGGAATGAACAATCGTTTTCAGTAATTTCATTATCAGACTCGACATATGTATACATTCTTATTTATGATAGTAAAAAGGCCGAATTATGTCATGTTAGTGAGTTAGATAAAGTTATGTAGGGGAAAACGGTGAACTTTTGAATATTTGCGGGTACAAATACTTCGAAACTGCATCATTTATACATTAAAAAGATTAATTTGTGAAAGGTTAGAGGAACTCATTATGAAGAGTCAAAATACAATCAACATAATAATAAAATAAGTCATGTGAATAAAATACATAGTACAGAAAATTTTCTCTGGTTAATTAAGGTACTAATAACAACAATAATAATGTTAATAACGTTTCGTGAATATACTACGTAATAAGAGAGGTGTTGTTAGGATAATTATGATGAGAAATTCGTGTGAATTTGAAAAACACATCTGTAAGTTGAAAATGGAACAGAGCAGATATAAAAATAATGTAGTGATCTAGTTGTTGGTCAAGGTAAACGTTGAGGCTGAATATACATCTTCTGGATGTATAAGTCAGGTCTTCAGGTGATCACAATGGCTCTATTTATTTACAGGAATTGTATTCTTGATCCTTTAGGTTGATTATTTTGAGTTTAATATAAAACCATGAAGCTCTTATTTACTTTGATATGACATTCGCAATCTACCGAACTAGAAGGACGACACTGTCAAAAGATATCGCAGCACCTTTTCTCAAACTTACTGGATAGTATAATCGATTTTTTTGTAGCATTGTGTAAGTGTTAGTTTATTTGTAAATCCTTTTTGGGTGGTGTGAATAAAGCAACTACTCAAAGGCGAATAATTAAATTAGTTTCGCTTTCAAGTTTGAAGCTATCGTGCCGAATCTTTGAAATTGTCCCTATGTTATTGATTAAATTTATTCATATGAATAATAGTGCGAATAGTTTCACATTTCTATGGGTGTCGTAATTAAATATTAAGGAAACTGCTATTGATCAAATATATGAATCTTTAAAATATATCAACTAACCTACCGTCAATAAAATTACTCGACAACATTCAAGCCAATAATATTTTCAATCTCATTTAGCAAATAACGTCTTTTCGGAAAAATCAAAAGTCAGACAGTTATTTTGAATAAAACTAAGCATCATCTTGTTTTGTCATGGAATGAATATAATGAAGAATGGATTTTAATTCAGTAGTATTGAAAGTCTAAAGTTTAATACGAATCCTTTAGGTTTTAGTTTCATTCGAATAGAGGTTCATGAATGCTCACTGATTTTTTGAATTTTTATTATTCATCAAACGATATTAATCTATTGCAATTACACATTATAAGTAAAGATGGATGGCGACTTGCAGTGAAATCCAGGATGCGCGTTCCGTTCTATTTGTGACTCATAAGATAGATGTACTTGCATCTCAAATAGGACAGAACGCGTGTCCTGGATTCACCTGTTAGCCACCATCCATTTTTGCTTATAATACTTGTGACTTAAAGCAATATTGAGACAACCCTTACAGGATGTATATATGCCGATATGAGATTGATCAACTACAGTTCTGAGCATCAAATAAACAGTACAAAATGAATTATACAACTGGTTTATTATAATAGTTGTAAATGCTTTTTAATGTTTGTTAAATGTTTCACTGAAATATACTTAACTTTTTTTCTTTTGTATTGTTTAATTTTAGTGTTTATCAAATTTCCAAAGTGCCAAATGTTCATTCATTCATTATGTTTATTATGTAAAATAATAATCATTTCAATAACAGTAATAATTCCTAAATGTTTTTGTCTTATGGGAAGTCCTCCAACAAATTTACCGGAATGTTTGAATTCTGGAACAAGAACCACTATTAATGAACGTTACAGGTAAACAAGGTATTTTTTTTATACCGATTAATTAGTTTCAATTTTTTCTTTTTTCTTCATTTTCTAAAATAATTTTCTGGAAACCCATCATAAACGATTGAATGATGAAACTTTGAGATGTTATTTTGGTGTATAATTAAAAAGGTGATATATACTTGTATTACATGTTTGAGCTGACTTTTTAGTGACTCGAGATCCCAATTCAGGTAGATCGTTTCTGATTATTATTGAAATATACAAGTCGCCAATCCTCTTAATATAAACACTGACTTAAATCACGTTGGTGAATAACGGAATTAAATAAGTTAAATACGAGAATGAATTTTTGAATACCTATATTTTTTACAATCGTTGATCAGAATAGACAATCAGAGAGACGTAGCGAAGGTAGCGAAGAGGATAGATAAAAGTGAAGTGAAATCATGCGCAGTGGAGAAGACGTGTGAACCAACTCGATTTAATCAAGAGTTAATCAATATTTATAGTCACACAAAAACAAGTTACAGACATGTAATGAACTGGATAAGAAGTGCACACACATACGCTCATATAAAAACAGTCGAGGTTGATAAGCGAATAATTGGAAAGGTCAAAATATGACTCAAAGAGAATGAGTAAACTGGCTTGTCCGGAAGCTAGAATAAGCTATGTGGGCTTGACATAGCAACTGACACTAGAACTTACATTATCTAACATTATCTAACACATAAAAAATGCTATCATCATCTAATGATAATAGCTATTACCGAATCATACACAGGTGACTGCAGATTTCTTTATGTAGAAGATAACATCGATGACGTATTGTTATTACTAGAGGATTAGGTAAGCGGTTTGATAAAAAATTTTCTTGACTGAATGTTTAATTATTTAGATAAGAATGTGAGAAAATATTTTATATATTCTAAGTTAACGAATTATCATAAGCTATATCATACAGAAATGTAGCTTTGAAGAAACAGATAGAAACAGTACAACTTATTCAAGTTCACATTAATTGTATAGAGCCTAGTATAATATAGAAGTAAATATCTTTGATTTTGAATAAATATGCATCAAAATTTTATTAGAAAATCTAGTTATTCAATAAGAAGTTATTTAGATAAATGAAAGTTTTTTTCGAAATCCCTTCAGTTTAACGATATTATCATGTCAACCGATTAATATGTACTTGTTCAAAAACTATTCTACCTATTTAATGATCTTGAGTGCTGTTCGAGGTACGAGGGCAGTTATTACTTCCCGATTATCCACACCGTGGAAGGGTCCTTTTGGAGGTACCTTACAAGGAAATTGGGTTAGAGGTGGTCTTAGTGACCTGAGAGCGTGACCGCAGTGCCCAAAGGATAACTGCTTGAGGTTGGTCGCAAACGACCTTTTCGTTAGTAATTTTCGTATTAGCTCCGTACTTGTTGAGACGTCACCTATGGCGAAGGCGAGATATCTGTCTCTCAACTAAAGGACGAGTATACTGTGCGTCATTTCATTATGTTCTATTTTACGGCTGTGAAACGTGGCCTCTAAGAGTAGAAGATTCTCGTAAGTTGCTAGTATTTTACCACAGATGTCTTAGAAATGTCTCTCGCACCTTCTGGGATCACCGGGTAAGTAATAGTGAGGTTAGATGGAGAGTATTAGGTAATAATAGTGAATCAGTTGATGAGGTTGAAAATGTATATTGACTGAGATAGTTGGACCACGTGTTACTCATACCTGACCATCTATTACCACAACGCGCAATGATGAATAGTGTTGGGGATGGTTGGAAGAAAGTTAGGGGCGGCCAAACCAAAACGTGACATCATTGCTTGAAGACACTAACTTCTAGTCTGAGGCATGTTAGTAGATGCAGACTACTTGGTTGGGATCCGCGTGACTATCGTAACCAGTGGTTGGAGACTCTTGGTGACATTGCTCAGAATCGATGACAATGGCGTAGGTGTATACACTCTTTGCCTTCCCTTAAACTATGAAATTAAGTTTGCTTTATGTCCTTTTTTCTACGAACTAATTCTTTCTTCCTGTACTATGTTCTTATATGCAATATTTCTTTTATATGTTACCACCACTTAATTAATTACTTTTATTAATTCGGTGTTCATCTTGTTGTGCTAATGAGGTATGGCAACTTGGACCGATGCATATATGTGCCTGGTCATACGTCGTAGCTGACTGATCTAACTATTTCATTTAGATTTATCTAATAGCATAACTGGATTGCATAAAAAGTGTCCTTTATGACAGTTTTTTTAAACACGTTGAAGAGGTATGATGCTGTAAATCGGGGATTAGTTATAACGAAATCTTGAAATATCATGAACAAATTAGTATGCTTTATTTTTTAATCACATCCATCATTTCTGGTTATTTTTAACGTGAAGAGATTAAAACCAATTACTTAATTTGAATGGATTATTTATTCACATTGAAATGTAGTGAATTTACTTTATTTCAGGTTTCATTTCACATGAGTATTCTTCCAAACAAGTAATATATATGGTTTTTGATTGAGATCATTAACCGATTGATGTTAGACCACCACTGAAAACCTGAAGGCACTGGACGGCCGTTTCGTCTTATTGTAGGACTCCTCAGCAGTGCGCATCCACGATCCCGCTCGCAGGATTTGAACCCAGGGCCTTCCGTCTCGCGCGTGAACTCTTAACCTACTGGACTTCTGAGCTGACATCCAATGGTCTTAAGGTCTAACCTGGGTTCCATCCCCGCCAGCGGGACCGTGGAAGTGCGATACTGAGGAGTCCCATAAGAGGACGAAACGGCCGTCCAGTGCTTCCAGGTTTCTAATGGTGGTCTAACATCAATCGGTCCATGATCTCAATGACAAACTTAATAATCTCCACAACCCCTATACTGATAATATATATGGCTTAAAATTGAAAAAAAGGCATGTATACATATATATATTTTTACATCAATATATAAAGAACTTTGTTAAATGTTCATCTGAATTAGATAGAAGATCAGAGGGATAAAGTTGATTAGGAAAGTTAAAGTAAGACTTTTACACTGTTGAAAAAATGGTTTATTAGGTTTGCTCATGGTAATTTACATTATATTCATTATATCAAACTTGAATATCAACTTAAAGTTAGGGCTTCCAATCTTTATGACAGGCATGACTTACTATGAAAACTTGACTTTTTCAGTATGAAGCAATTAATCCTTAGAGAAAATTATCTAATACGTTTATTTATGTGTAAAATTTGTCAATAATTAACTTTATTCTATAGTTAGCATTACATTTTACCTTTTTTTAACCATATCAATCTATTTTTGTTTTTTAATCAGTTGTTCATGTATAGATTCTTATATGAATCGACAATGTAAACTTTTGTCGATTAATGTTGCCAATACTCCAATAGAAATGCCTTTCACTAGTTTTTATATTAATACAACAATTCAACAAACTGTACATATTGGTTTTCAATTTATCACTTCAGACAACAGTGGAAATGGTACACTGTTTACACTTAGAAATATGGTAAGCTACTATGTATTGATCATTTATATTGTCTTAAAAATAGTTTCGTTGTTTAGTTATCCTAACTGTTTATTTTTTATGATCACTGTTAAAAAATTAAAAAAAAACTAAGCTTTTTTGAAAACAAGCTTATAATAATGGGCTGAAATTAAATTAGTGAAAATAATGAATGAAAATGCTTTAATTTTAATTCATTATGTTCAGTTCCGAAAGGTTATGTTAACTGTTTCATTGAGTGTACGATGCCACCAAATACCCTGGTACGAAAAGCGAATGTCCAGCGTTTTAACCGGGTTGGTGGATACGAATAGTCAACCTAGGGGAGTTGGAAAACCCTGATTCCAAACCAATGGTGCACATCGGCTCCAGGATCTTGAGGGAACAAATGGCGTAGGAACTAATTATTGGTCACTGGCTACCATAGGACTGCATCTTCTGACGTTGCTCCACTGCCTTGTAGATCGGACTCTTAGGTCAAAGACTCCTATTATGGCCACATAAGAAGACCACCTGCTTCGGTCTGGGCACCAGGACATCATCACAGCCCACACACAAATCAATTGACTTGTGCAGCGCATATGTATTCGGTGCTCCTTACTACCAATGTTTATGTGTTTAAATAAATAAATAAACAAATAAAACGATATTTGTCAGTTTCGGTTTTACTGGATAACAACTGAATATGTTATCTAGATATATGAACTTCAAAATTCAATAAACTAAGCATTTTAACTTAGATATATAAAACTTCTAGTAGGTAATTACAGTTAAAAATAAATAGTAACTCGGTCTTCCTTCATTACTTCATGGATGATAATGATTCAGTCACAATTGATTGATCACTGGATGGCGATCAATGTCATGCGTGTGAATTCCTTGTTAGTGCAGATCGAAAGCTAACGATCATGTTGCAATGTAGCCACTTGTCTAGGTAACTCGACACTGCGGGCACTATATATTGAGATTAGATGGTGGTTGGAGGTAGTCAACAGGAAACCCTGGACCTGGGTTTCGTGCTACTAGCTATCCGAGCCGCTATAGCTCAGTGGTAACGTCTCTGACTGTGAAGCTGGGTGACACGAGATCAGATCCTCCAGGGAGCACCAGTTCCCTCAAGATTACAGGTACACCTTGCTGACGAGTGCCAAGTAGCACGAAACCCGGGTCCAGGGTTTCCTGTCGACCACCTCCAACCTAATAATGATTCAACTTTATCTGTAATTATCTACATAAAGTAAAAATATATCTAGTAGTTTTATGGAATTATTTTTAAATAATACCTAACAATCATTATAGGTTAATAGTTATAACAAAAGATAATACTTTACGAATAATTGGTGATTAAGGTTTATCACTAAAAAAATCAACCATAGATACTTTCCATGTAAACTGTTTTGAAAACATATATTTCTTTTCAAATATTATAAATGACCATATTTCTGATAAAGTTAAATGTAAAGTGTATCATTTAGGTTAAAAAACCCTGTTGTTTTATATGATGAATTTACTTTGATTTGTCCCAATCGTTGCTGCTACCTTGACGTGGTGGTTGGGCTTGCCTATTGTAATGAACCAATCGGGTTATACTGGCTGGAACAACCGTTCCTACCGTGCTAGAAAGGTCGGTTGAAGAACAGTAAGACTAAAAGCAGCAAACCCAAGGTCCGAAGGCGAAGTCGTACTGTTGATTATACAGAAGTGTGACGACAGTAATGTGTTTCCTTCAGACAACCAGCATGACAGTGATGCTGCCTTCTCACAACGAGGGGTAGGGTTAGAAAAAGTCGACCATAATGATGCACACCTCGCATTATCTAACGAATATCCGTCCCCGGCGGTAGGACCTTAACATTGAAGGAGCTAACACGAAAATTACTAACAAAAAGGTCATGTGTAACCGACCTCAAGCAGTTGTCCCTTGAGCACTGAGGTCACACTCTCGGGTCCGTAAGACCATCTCTAACTTGATTTCCTCCTCAGGTACCTCCAGAAGAACCCTTCCACAGTTTGGATAACCGGGAAGTGATAACTGCCCTCATACCTTTAACAGCACTCAAGACAGACTGACTTTGATTTGTATACTTATCGATGGTGTTCTTTTGATTTGCTTCTAATTACCGAATTCGTAATATAACGTAAGGTGTACATATGAAATAACATGATTAGTTAGTCTTTTGACAAGCAAAATAGATTTTGTGGTTTTCAACTGGTTTACATTATATAATAATGTACAGAATGTTTTTGTTACTGGAAGTAATTTACTTCATATGTCGATAAATATATGATCTAAGTCAAACAAAGATATAAGAAAATAACAAGTATGGTCATAGCTTTTAAATATGTTATCGGTGTCATTGTTTTGCAAATATTTTGCCCTATATGATATATCAGTTTTAAAACAACGAAAATATAATTCTATTTGATGCTTAATTAGAACAATTAGCTGTCTTAAATTTATAAATAGGAAAGGTTAAAGACATAATTAATTTTCAATAGACCAATTAGGCATATTTACTATTTGAATTCGCGCATAATCATAGTAAGATAAATATTGTTCAATGGTAGATAACTTCTTATGTGTTCGCTTTAAGTATATTAACATTATAAGTTACCATATGTTTATGAAGTAATTATGACTTATTATCTATCATATTCAAAGAATATTTTTCATCACAAAGACTTATTGAATGAAAACAAAAATGCACTGTTGAGTTGATTCATCCAAGTTGTTCATATTGTAGATCATATAGCTACGAATATTCATCAAAATTTGTAAGGATAGTTAGACAGAGATTAGACCTCGAGTATATAGAAGATATTTTTATAGAAACTATATTTGAACTGCTTTCAAGATTGTATTTTCGAGCAAATTATTTATTGTAGCTTAATATACCTGGGAATAAATGTAATTCTGTATAACTGAGGTGTTTTCTCGTAGAGATTTTAGTTAATAAAAGCCTTTTTATTACTGTCATAATAGTAACTGGGACATGTTTCATATACTAACTTTTTAATTTCACATCAAAAATGATTCGTATACATTTCACTACGTTTTAGTTAAAAGTCAACCGAATAGGAATTCGGACAGCATACTACTGATGATATTTGACGATGGTCAACCTACGTCATTTCGTTATTGATGTGTATGATCATTAATACATTGTTAAATCTTAACTAGTACTTTATAATTTATTTTTTAATTGGATTCATGAGTCAATCAAAGATAGACCACCATTGGAAAGGTGGAAACACGACCGTTCCGTCCTAGTGTGGGACTCTTAGCAGTGAGCATTCACGACCCCGCCTCGAGAGATTCAAACACAGGACCTGTCAGTCTCGCGCACGAGCGCTTGACCACAAGACCGCTGAGCCGGCATCAATCTGTGTTAATGTTTAAATTCAACCAATTCACAAAATTGCACCACTGTCCACCATTGTCTTCAGTGAGTTATTATCTAATAACAGACCCAGTTGAACTTCACTTGTCACGTCTTTTCACTAAAACTTTAATAAATACCTTTTGAAGCCAGTCACTAGTGAGCATATGATGTCCTGAGAGTGAAACCGATAGGTCCTTAGTTCGAATCTCGTGAGTGGGATCGTGGATGCGCACTGTTGAGGAGTCTCACACTAGGACGAAACGACCGTTCACTGCTTCTAGGTTTTCCATGGTGGTCTAGCTTTAATTGACTCATGAATTTAATTGTTAAACGACTATAATATCCACAGAAAGCTCCCTTTCTGATTAAAATGTAATTTGTTTCCTATAAATTCACAAATATTCAGAATATTTCATAATTTAACCTTTTATATATATTTTATTTTAAAATTAAATGATAATTTTCCAGAATCCAAGTAAATATTCTTTCAGTGACAGTGTTAAATTGTTTATTGTATTTGATTTTGCCATACTTTACAATATGTCATAATGTTTCATCAAAACAAATAGAATAGATAGGGATAATAATTAGTAATTGAATTAAATTAATAAATATCTATTATATGGTATTATCTATTGCAGAGATATCTCTAAATTGTTATTATTTATTAGTGTGTATGTTATTTTCTTGATTATTCATGTAACTGATAGTGATACGATATTGATACTGTATTTTTTCCCCAATAACTTTGACACATGACAAAATGTTTTACAATAAAAGAAAGTTTAAGTTTGATTGTTTATGTAATTAGATGATACGTTCTAGTGTTTCTAAAGAAGAAAATGTATCGAAGTTTTTATACAGTAAAGTAGACCTGAAGAAAAAGATGTAAAATACGTAATCCGTTGAGTTGGTGGAGACAATTTGTTGTTCAGGTGGATGATTTTGATGGAGTTTTTTCATTGACCTGGATGGTTTGGTTGTGGAGCTTTCATCATTTTTCTGAGTGACATCATCAGTACAAACTTCAGGTAGAAGTGAAGTTGTCGAATTTCTCCATATATAGTTCACCGTTTATTCTGTAGACCTCGTTGACACATTTAAGGTCAACAGTAGCCAATCAACATTGAGGTCTACTGGACAAGCTATGCGCCATGTGTGGAGAAATTCGAACACATCAGTTCTACTTGAAGTTTATGCTGATGATGTCGTTTAGATGAAAGCTCCACGACCAAACTATCCAGCTCGGAGAACAAGACTCCATCAAAATACGTGATCCGTATTTTTTTAAGTCTGTTATGATGGATTTAAATCGTTTATGGTTCCACATCAACAATATAAGATCATTTTTCCCTGATAAACGATATCTTCTATAATAGTTCTATGAAAACTGAAGGTTAAATGTATTACTATCTTGCTTTCATTTTACTCTTTTTTTTCAACTGCGAATACTATTGTTTATTATAAAAGTCCAACAAAATAGGTAGCTGGAACATTTGATAGTAAGTTGAAAAACCTTTTATCTGGTCAAAGCTATTCTTCAGTTTTATGGTATCTATCACTGAAGGAATATTAAGATGACTTGTAAAAAATTTAAAATAAGATTATAATGAACTCAACCTAATGGTTTGTTTCTAAAATCTGCTAAAAGTAACGCATACGAGTTACTGACGCGAGTAGTTAATTAAGTAGTTAGAGAATGGATATTTATGCAGTGAGTTTTAATATTTTCCTGATTTTGTGTTGCAACAAATTTTATCAGTATACATACTGACTAATTTCTCACTGATCATTCAGCTATTATTCATCTATAGATATCTATACTTATTTCAATAGAAAAGTCAAATTGAATATTTATGGAGTTGTTACTTGTGTGAAATGGTATTCATTAATAAGGATTTCCTAATACAAATAGTTCATCATAAAAAATTGAAAGTTATGTAGTGTATTCAAACTCAACAAATATCTTCATTTATAAAAAATAATATATTCTGAACACATTCTTTAGTGGTCCTGTATATCTGGCTCCAATTCGGTCGTATAAATGATATTGAAATATACATATAATCAATCCTCGTATATAATTATTGACTTAATTCGGGTTAGTGAGTGACGGAATTAAATACGTCAAATACGTATATTTCATACAATCTGTGATCCCGACAAAATATCGGAGAAGTAAAGAGAAGAAAGCGAAGGGAAATGACGCGCAGTGGAGAAGGCGTATGAAACAACTCGAGTTAATCAAGCGTTAATCAATATTTATCATCACAAAAAAATAAGCTAGAGACATGTGATAAGTAGGATAAGAAGTGTACACAAGGTTGATAAGCGAATAATTGGAAAGGTCAAAATGTGACTAAGAATAGTGAATGAACTGATCTGTTCAGAGGCTATAACAACCTATGTGGGCTTGCATAGCAACTGACACTACAATTCCTTAATAATTAAAAATTTTTGATTGAGATTATTATTCGATTGATTTTAAACCACTACTGAAAACCTGGAAGCACTTGATGACCATTTCGTCCTAGTATAGGACTCCTCGGCAGTATGCATCCACGATTACGCACGCGTATTCTGGATTCCACTGCTAGCCACTATCCATCTTTGCTCATAAAATTCTCATTCTGTTCGCAAGCATTTGGAATACATACGAATATTCTACGGTAACTATAATGTGTATTCAGTGTAGATTAAATTTACGGAAGTGTGAATTAGTTTACAGTTCTCTGCAGGTGGTGATTTCGCAAACTTTGACAATACTTTGTTACTGGCTAGTGATAACTGGTTTCATTTGTTTGACAATTCAGATGAAAATGAGCCATTTAAGTCTATAGTTGAAATCACGAACTGATCTCATTCAGACCACCATGGAAAATAAAAAAAGAACTGTATAGCCGTTTCGTTCTCATATGGGACTCTTATACAATGAAAATTCGCGAACCCTCAGATGGTAGCCAAACTCGAGTCTCCGGTCTCGTGAGCAGATGCTCAACCTCTAAACCACTGGTCCGACGTCGAACGGTATTAATCTATAACTTCAAACAATTTACGATATTTTTAAACCACTATGTTTTTTCTGAGGTGCTTTAGCTCACTAGAATTGAAGGAGTGACTAGTGAGCACACGATTGTTATTAGTATAACAAGATTGTGGAGGTTTTATGCTTTCATAGTTTCGATCATGAAGCAGATTTCCACCACATCAAATGTAAGACAGATGTCCACCACAAATAACTCATATGGGTTGCACAATATCGTAAATTGTTTGAAGTTATACATTAATACCGTTCGACGTCGGACCAGTGGTTTAGAGGTTGAGCATCTGCTCACGAGACCAGAGACTCGAGTTTGGCTACCAATTGAGGGTTCGTGAATACTCATTGTATAAGAGTCCCATACGGTTATCCAGTTCTTCTTGCGTTTCTCTTAGTGTTATTACCAAGGGTAATTAGTGGTTTAGATTGTGGTTATGTATGTATATCGAAGCACTGTTTATGGTAGAATGGAATAAATAAAATCTTTGAAGATTAATGTATTGTTAATTCTTTTTTTTACAGAATTCTACATTTTTTTTAAATGAACAACTAATCCAAATCAAAGTTTCCCTTGAATTTGGACGAATTAGTGTACATTTCATTTATCTATCAAATTCAAAAACTCTTCGTTTACCTTCAGGTGCTGTTGCACTAAATGACAATGCTTGGCATTATGTAGATTTCTTTCTGAATACACAGGTAATATTTTAAAAAGAGGACTGTTTTTTTTCACTGATTTTAGTCAAATAGGATGATTCAACTAGCAAGAATAATACAGGGACCTGATTCTCAGTAAACCTGAACTGATTCCATTTAACTTGTTACATGATCCTGTTAGTTGTGTATACTGGTTTATTTTTTGACACAATAAAATAATATCGGAGTAATATAGGGAGTGAAGATATATGAATTGTAGGTTTAATTATTTTTCTCATAACGAAGTCAACAGTTGCTGAATATATATTTTTAAGCTATATCAGTTTATTCCATGCTATTATGAGCATGGAGCACAACTAGTGTACATTGAACAAATCATTTGTTCTCGATTAGTGTTTTTCATAGATCATTCGCTGCAGATTCACTTAAGATTTAGATATCTGAAAATGATCATTTCAATGTCGATACATTCAAATCAAAATCAATGATAATAATTAACTATCGCTCTTGATAATTTATTTTGAAGAAATAAACTTTTGAGTAATGATGTAAACCCAAACCGAGTTCAGTTTTAAGTGATTACTCTTAGAATTACTAGGGAATGTGTTCATCCGACGTTTTGATACATCAGATAAATATTGAGTCTGATAATTTAGACTGAAATTCACTGACCTTTGAATGGCGTATAAAATCTGTGACTTTCAATCGCTTATGTCTTAATTGGCTTTAAATAATATTTATTCATATGCCTAATATTTTATATATAAGCATACAATTTCACTTCTTTCAGTTAATGGGCCAGCTTTAAAATTAATCTATTTGGTGTTTTTGTCAATGATTCCGGATTATAGGAAGTCATTACTCGTTCACATAATATAACTGTATTCGCTCATTGATTAGGATTTTATTCACTTGAGTTAATAGTTTTCAAATCTTGTATTATTAACCAATTCGGAACACCAGATAAATAAGTCTATTCTGATGCCGAGTATCGCATGAAAACAAGTTAAGTTTAAGATGATTCTATTATGCTTTTTTATGTACTAAATCGAGAAAAGATATAGTTTAGAATACCTTGCACTAAGTTATTACATATTTTTAATAAATTTCCCTATTTGATCAATTATTTATACAGGTTAATGGCGAATGGAATCTAGTCTTATTGATAGATCGTTGTAAATATTCTGAGTTAGGACCGTGTATGGTGAACGATACAATAATTTTATCAGTGAATACAATACAAATAGGAGGTTATATTCTAATAGGTGATGAATCTGGTCCATCTACAGAGAGATTTAGAGGATGTTTTGATAATGTTATGGTGAATAGAGAGGTAAAGTTTTTGGAGTAAATTTTCAGTTAAACTGTCACACTGTAATTAACTTATCTGGCTTTATTACAACATTTTATAAAGTTTCCATTTATATTCATTTCTGGTTATTGTGAATATTTGGTTCTATGATTATTACCTTTTGGACTCTGTCGTCAAGGGATTGTCTTCTACCTCAATTGTAAACTAGGTTAAACCAGAATGACTTGAATTACCATCATTTATATCTTTTGAAACGAAAAACTAGCTTAGAAGATACAATTTCGTTACTCCCCTTAAGTCTATTACTGATCCACATATGGTGCGTAAAACCTATGGAATCCAGTATGATTGTATAAATTTATATGATACTAAGATGCCAAACAGCGAAAGTCCCAGAAAATTTGTAAAATTCTCGGTAAAGGTACATACGTTCTAACAAACTTTGGCGTTCACTGAACGCTTTATTGACTTACGAAGGTCAGCTGTATGTATTTGTATTTGAGACAACTTAAGTCCCGATAATGTTTGATGTAAAAATACTTAATGTTAGTAAATACTCAATAAATGTGAAAGCAATTTACGTAGGATGGTTTAAAATATTTAACTTGTAAATGATATCCTCGTTACGTTAATGTTCATCAATCAATCCTGAAATTTAATTGAAATAAAATGTAGTCTATTTTATCCTTTTAGTTGATCGATTTCTACCCGGTACTTTTATCGCAAGGTTCTCGGCGTGGTTGTCCAGACTCTCAGAAAGGTTGTGTAAGAGGTAATGTAAAATTATGTGGAAAGTATGGGAAATGTCGAAATGCAATAAGTTCCACCGATATACTGACTTGTCAATGTGAATTAGGTTATCGACCTAATATAACAGGTGCACCGAAACCACATAGATGGCCATGTGAAACTGGTAAGTAAACCTTTTAGAGAACCACATTTATGAATTCATGAAAGCCAAATTAACTAACTCTTCAATATATGCTGTTTGTGTTCTTATAATTTTATCAAAATGTTTAAAAAAATGAATAAATGGATATACAAAATCTGACAATTAAATGAATAGTTGGACTGTTTTAAACTCCATCTATCTCTTATTGCAACTATGACATCTGATGAACATAATTACCCAAATTGAAAAATGCAAGAGTATAAAGGACCGACTGATATAACATTGGTCTTATTTGTAAGCAATGATGGATAGTGGCTAGCAGTGGAATCCAGGACGCGCGTTTTGACTGATCAATTGCAGTCTTAAACCTCAATCGGAAGATGGCGTTTGAAGCAACTGGTACTGGGTTCGAGTCCCAGAATGAACATCATCTCCGAGATGCAGGTACATTCGGCTAACGAGTCTCAAATAGGACGAAACGCACATCCTGGATTCCACTGCTAGCCACTATCCATCATTGCTTACAAAAAGCTTGTGAATTAAGGTAATATCGAGGCATACGCACAATATGCACATATGCCGATAACAGACTGATCAATTGCAGTCTTAAACCTCAAAGGAAAGATACAAGCCAAATAATACCAAGTGAATTGGTCTTATTTATTATCAGAATTGTGTATAGTTTATTTAATAGAGTGTTCTGCTAAAATCTTTGTCAAATTCATAATTGTGACAACTCGTTTCTTTTTTTTCAAAATTACTTTTTACTTATCATAGATTAAAAATTTACTGTATGTAGTCATGTAATCTAAAAGCTAAATACAATCGAGTATGGTGTCCAGTTATTCATACTAATCTGGTTTATACTTATCTAATTACATTGATTTGCTTGAAAAGAAGCTGATTTATTTTATACTTTCTTTTAAAATATCTCAAAACTTAGATAAATAATAATTATTTGTCACATTGACAGAAATAAAAATGAGTGTCAAATAGTAAGTTGTACCGGGTATTATTCCTAAATAAAAATCTTAAATAATCGTAAAATCTATTAAATGGACAACTGATAGGGATTTTTAGTAACTGTATTAGATATATTCAAATGACTTATCATATACCTAGGATATGCACAGATTTGTACATTAATAAAATAAATAATACATCATTTCTTAGACGATGGACAAATTACAGTTAACAAATGGTACGACAGATAATATTTTCGAAATATTCAATGCATGTACACGTTGGTACCAACGTCTTTAAATACAGCAATACGTGGTGCACTTTCGGGAAAACTGCATATATTCACCTTGCTAAAGAGTATCAAGAAATATACTTCTAGGGTGTCAACTTCGAAGTGCTTGTAATTACATAACATTGAAGCATAGTTCACTTAGTGTCATATTCCTTTAGACTAATGGTCTCGTTGTAAGTTGTTTTACAAAATTAATTAAGATTTAATACTATGAAAACATGAAGTTGCTATCTATCCTGCAGCTAACTGGTGCGAGTGTTTTGATTATATACATTTCTTCCAGAAAATGTATTCATTTTTCGTGTTGTGTGATTTCTACTTTTCAGTTTCTGATGGCTGGTCTACAACTAATGTAGTTTACAATGCGTTATTCACTGATAAAGTTCCGAATCGTTTACGACTGAGCATAAGAACAAGAACTCAAACATTTATGGTTTTTGCAGTTGGTGCGTGGAAACTTTCTATAAGTGTGAGTCAATGATATATTTTTTTAAATATTAAATTCATTTGGGAATGGATCTGGTCTAGTGGTTAAGTGCTCGCGCGCGAAGCAAGTAGGTCCTGGGTTCGAACCCCGCGTGGTGCGGGATCGTGGATGCGCACTGCTGAGGAGTCCCACACCAGGACGAAACGGCCGTCCAGTGCTTCCAGGTTTTCAATGGTGGTCTAGCTTCAAATGACTCATGATTTCAACCTGTGAATGTATAAACATCACCATAACAGAATACATAGTCCGGAATTTAGAACAAAAGCTTAGTTTCTGTGAAATTTTACAATTCAAGTAATTCAAATGCTTAATGTGGTTTTACTGTATGTGTGACTACTCGTTGATGCTCTCATGATTACATCTACAAAGTTTAGATTAGCCTGAAAATTGCATTTTACATTTTGGGCTACTTAGCATGAAATAAGTAGTTTGTCATAAATCTTAAAAAGTATTCTGTGGGGGTTTTTAGTCATTGATGACGAAAAGAAATACCCATACTAGATTCTTGGTCCTTGAATTAGAGATATGTTGAAAGGGTAGGGTAAAGTGTTAGTAAAAGCAATAATATTCAAAAATTTGTTTCTGATTGTTTTGTTGATAGAATTTATGTATTGTTGTCAATAACTTTTATGGTGTTTTCCTCCTAATTATTTTAATTTAAAAAACATTAATTCAGACATGCCATTTTGATTTATAAAGCTAAAATAATGCCTAACAAATTGGAAGGCGAATTTCTTTCGCGTTCATTAATTGAAATATATATATGTGAAGATTTGAATTGAAAGATTTTTTATATTCCAAACTGAAATGTATTCTTGATCTTAATAGTCATTAAAAGATAGATTTTATAACAAAGTTGGCAATCAAACAGGAAACAGTTTTAGTCAATGGAAGGAAGAAGGCGTTTAAATTTGTTTAAATCCTTTCAACCATACTTTTGATCTGTTTTAGTTCCGGAACAAAATATGAAATCGGAAGATTGTAAATCAATAAAGAATATCATGAACTAATCAAATATAGAACATCACTGAAAAACTGGAAGCAGTAGGCAGCTGTTTCCTTCTAGTATGAGACTTCTCAGAAGTGTGCATTTATGATCACACATGAAGGGTTCGAACCAGGGAACTTCGACCTCGTGCAAACGCTTAACGTTCAGACAACTAAACCGAGATCCAACAGTGTTAATGTCTAACTTTAACGAATACACGATATTGCGTGACCATCTTTAACTGTCTTCGGTAGGTAACAGTATCATGCCAGACACGGCTGAACTTCACTCGTTACGACCTCTTTCTTGAACTCCAAGCATCACCTCTTGAAGGGAGTGACTAGTAGGTACATGATAATTATCACTATAGGGTTGTGAAGATTAAGAGCTCGCGAGAGCACAAAAGTCCTGGGTTTTGGGTCATGCTTGCGGGATCTTGGCTGCGCACAGTTGACGAGTCCTATACTAGGACAGAAAGGCCGTTCAGTACCTTCAGATTTCTGATGATAGTCTGAAATTGACCGGTTCATGATCTCGATAAAATCTCAACAATCTCTACCACCGTGTGCTGGCAATGAAGAATAATTTTAGAGGTACGCTATTTCAGTAGAAAGTATGTTTCTCAGTATTTTCGTACAGATAACTTAGAAGTAGTGCAAGTATCGTATGTTCTGTGACCTGAGAAACAGTTTATGGAGGATGTTAACGTTTCAGCTAGAGTGATGATATACAATATGAAATTTAAGATGGGGAATTTAATTAAGGATGTTAAATGAACAATTATTTCGTGGTTTACATCAATGAGCAAATCGAACGAATTTGGAACTAGTTATGAAACTTTTGTTGAGATCACGAGTTGATCTAATTTAGATAACCATTGAACACGACTTTACAGCCTAACATGAAGCTCCTAAGCAGTCAGCATCCATAACACCGCAATCGTGAGTCCAACTAGGGCATTCGAGTTCGTGCACAAACGATCACATCCTAAACCAGTGATCCGGGATCCAGTGGTGTGAATGTTTAATTTCAATTGGCTCATGATATTGTGGGACAGTGATTTATTGCTCTCGGTGGGTAATTATTTTATATGTATATTGACTCCAAAGAAAATGACTTTAAGTTTACTATTAATGAGTCATAGAATAATGATTAAAAGCATACTTCGTACAGATTGAAACATGCACAATATTCGAAACAACTTATTATTCGTAAGACACTCTATTTGAAGAAATACAAGTATATTTTTAGTGTTGTTTGGTATGAAGTGTAATTAGCTACAGATAGTATAAAAGCCGTGGGATATTAAACTTTTAGTTCTATCTAATTCAGGATTCTCTGGAATACGTACTCATTATCTTGTATAATGTCATATAAAAAACTTTCAAATTTCGTGAGTATCATGGAATAATCCAGACTCTGAGATAGTACCTGATAGTTGATAGTTCTGTAACTCAGTCATTTTCTGATATGTGTCACTGTTAGACTGTGTCATTGATAATTGACTTTCTTACTTCTGACTTTGATGAAGCCTCAGGTTATGGAAGTTTAAGAAGATTACCGATACCCCATCTTAGGACTCATTTAATTCAAGAAACATTTTTATTGAATACAGATGCAAACTTTGTGAATTTAGTGTGATGTAGTGTCATGAATACTGAACGTCAAGAATTCATTAGTATGGGGTTAAGATTATTAAGTTTTTGATTGAGATCATGAACTGGTTGATCTTAGACCATCATTGAAAACCTGGAAGCACTGGACAGCCTTTTCGTCCTATTGTGGACTTCTCAACAGTAAGCATCCACGATTCCGCTCGCGTGGTTGAAAGCCAGGGCCTTCGATCTCGCGCTAACGCCTAAACTCTAGACCACTGATCCGGTATCCAACAGTGGTAATGTTTAACTTCAACCAATCAACGAAGTTGCGCGACCATCTTCCTTATTATTATTAGGATCGGATAATCGCATAGTACTCTCCGACTTCCATTCCTTTATTAGAACTTTCTCACTAGTATCCTAACTATTTCTTACTAGTGTATTCTTTGCATTTCACTAAAAGTACAATGACTTTCTTCTTAAGGAAAAAAAGCGTATTCGACAGCTTATATATTCACATAATACAACTCCCTTTATATAATGCACATTACATATTTCGTACATGACTAATTATGTCTGTATTTTGTATCTATCAGTAATAAAAAACATTGTATCAGTCATTCAGTCAGTCATCAACAACATAGAACTTCGTACGTACACAAATCAGTTCGAGTTGCCATACCACATTAGCACAGAGATACAATTGTCAATTCAAATCTCATCGTGGTAGAGGCAGTAGAATTATAAGCAGTAACCGGAAAGATTAGGGTTTGATAATGAAATATATTTATAAAGTGAAAAAAAGGGGTGACATGATAAATTCAGAAGATTAGAATTTGAGAGAACACAAACAATAGATTCACATGTACCATTAGTTAATATTTACATAATTATGTAAATTTCTTTTTCTTAATGAAAAAACAAACAAACAAAACAACAATAGTCAACATACTGAATTGTGATAGAAATAAAATAACAACAGCAACAACAGAACAATTCAACTTTACAGTTAACCATGTAGGTAAAAGATGAAAACAAAATGTTCTTAATAATAAGAACACATACAAAATAGTCACTGTTAACTTACTTGTTTTAAAAGGTCATGAATTGGATCTTTTTTGTTGATGATTAAATTTCTATTTTAAATAATATGGTTATCAATGTTTTATTGAATAAAATGATTTTGTTGAATAATGAATATCCGAATATTTGAAAAAATATAGAAACAATAAATTCAGTATTTAAAATAGAAAGGATAAATACACTTTTGAATTCAATAGGCTAATTATTGAAGTGTTTATTTGTCTTATAAGTAAACACCATATACTTATATGAAACTAATATATATATATTATATTATCAGTCTCATAATAGAAAACATAAGACTACATGATATCTGATAACTTAAAAGATATATTTGTATAAAAGATATTTAGTATCATAAGGGGGTTTGTGGAGATTGTTAGTTATTTCAATAGTTGAGGTCATGAATCAATTGAAGCTAGACCATCATGGAAAACTTGGAAGCAATGGATAGCCGTTTCTTCCTATGATGGAACTTCTTAGCAGTGCGCATCCACGATCCCGACTCCCAGGATTTGAACCTGGAGTCGAACAGTGCTTCTAGCTTTTTCATGATGATCAAGCTTCAATTGACTCATGATTTCAATTAATAAATTTAATATAATATCCACAAAAACACCTTCTGATACTAATCAACATATGCTCACTAGTGACTGACTTCAAGAGATATATCCTGGAGTTCTAGTGAGAAGCACTGATCAGTGGAGTTCAACCGGGTCTGTTATCAGATAGTAACTCACTGAAGACAATGGTGGATGTGTCGCTCAATTTCGTGGATTAGTTGAATTTAGACATTAACACCATTGGATGTTGGCCGGCTCAGTAGTCTGATGGTTAAGCGCTCGCTCGCTCGCGAGACTGATAGGTCTTGTGTTCGAATCTCTCGAGGCGGGATCATGGATGCGCACTGCTGAGGAGTCCCACAATAGGACGAAACGGCCGTCCAGTGCTCCTAGGTTTTACATGGTGATCTAGCTTCAATTGACTCGTGATCTCAACCACTGAAATTACTACAATCTCCACAAAGCCCCTTCTGATACTAATTATTATTGTGACAATTATTCATTAGAAATGATTACATAAGTATCTTTCATAAACTTTCTTAAACCATAGTATATCAGTCACAAAAAAGATGATACTGTTAAACAGTAAAGTTGACGATGGTTTCAGTTAAACAAGATCTTGAAAAAAAAATAAATGACCAACAACGAAAAATATATACATTATTAACTTTTTACCCAATAGTCAATTTATCTGAAATCATCAGGTTCAACTTTGGCATGGATATCTAGAAATGATCACAGTCGAAATTT